AAACTCTTTAAGAACCTCATGACAGAGATAAACTCTCACATCTCAATAATTAGCCTGAATGTGAATGGACTAAATGCACCACTGAAAAGAGATACAATGGCAAATTGAATAAAATATCATGAGGCAACAATACATTGTCGCCAAAAGACTCATCTCACCAGAAAGGATACTCACAGACTCAAAGTAAGAGGATGGGAGACAGACTTTCAGGAGAACAGAACACAAAAGAAAGCGGGAGTCACGATCTTAGTATCAGACAAAATACCTTTTAAGCTATCAAAAATTTAAAGATCTAGAAGGTCATTACATAATGAAAAATGGTTCAATCCATCAACAAGAATTATCCATCCTAAACACATATGCACCCAACATTGGAGCACCAACTTTCATGAAACAGCTTCTAGGTAAACTTAAAAAATATATTGACTCTAGCACTATCATAGCACTATCATAGGCTTACCCCACTCGTAAGCCTAGACAGATCATCAAGACAAAAAATCAACAAGGAGATCCAGAACCTCAATGTGATGCTTGACCAAATGGACTTAACTGATACCTACAGAACATTCCACCCAACAACCACAGATATACATTCTACTCATCATCACATAGAATGTACTCTAAGATCGACTACCTCCTTGGCCATAAATCAAGCATAAACAAATTCCATAAGATTGAAATCCTGCCATGCACCTTCTCAGACTACAATGGAATAAAAATAAATATCAACACTAACGAAGTTCCCCCAAAACCCACAAAGACATGGACACTAAATGGCATGATGCTAAACAGCTCCTGGGTCATCATGGAAATCAAAACAGAGATTAAAAGATACCTGGAAAGAAATGAACATGAAGAAACTTTGTACCAAAACCTCTGGGATGCCATGAAAACAGTACCAAGAGGGTAAGTCATATCTCTATGACCACACATGAAGAAAATGGAAAGATCACAAGTTAACAGCCTAACAAAACACTTAAGAAAGCTGGAAAAGCAAGACCACCAAAACCCTAACTTTAGCAGAAGAATCCAGATCTCCAAAATAAAGCCCAAATTCGGGACATGGAAGATAAAAAGATAATACAAAAAGAATCAATGAAAAAAAAGCTGGTTCTTTGAAAGGACAAATAAGAATGATGGACACCTAGCTAGACTGACCCCAAAAAAGAGGAAAAAAGCCCAAATAAACACAATCGGAAATGTAAAAAATCAAGTCACAACAGACCCTGAAGAAATACAAAAGATTATCAGAGACTACTATGTACACTCGCATGGAAACAAACTTGAAAACCTAAAGAAAATGGAGGACTTTCTGACATCACACAACCTCTTCAGGTTGAAACAAGAAGGAATCAAGAACCTAGATAAACTAATAACAATCCAGGAAATTGACTATGTCATAAGAAAACAACCTATTAAAAAAAAAACCCTAGACCCAATAGCTTTCCAGCAGAATTCTACAAAACATACAAGGAGGAACTGATACCAATCCTACTGAAAGTATTTCAGGCAATCAAGAAAGACGGAACTCTCCCCAAATCATCTTATGAAACTAACATCACATTGATATGCAAACCAGGCAAAGATCAAACAAAGAAAAAGAACTACAGACCAATATCCTTGATGAACATAGATGCTAAAATTCCCAACAAGATCCTAGCAAACCGGATCCAATAACACATCTCAAAAGTCATCCACCATGACCAAGTAGTAGGCTTCATCCCCGGGGTGCAGGACTGGTTTAACATTTGCAAGACCACGTAAGTAATTAAATACATCAACAGATGTAAAAACAAAAACCATATGATTTTATCATTAGATGCAGAAAAAGTTTTTGATAAAATCCAGCACCCCATTTTGATAAAAACCCTCGAACATCTAGGCATAGATGGAACACACTTCAAAATAGTAAGAGCCATCTTGAGAAACCCACAGCTAGCAAACTGCTAAACAGAGAGAAAATGGAACCACTTCCCCTGAAAACCAGAACAAGACAAGGATGCCCACTCTCATCCCTCCTGTTTAACATAGTTTTGGAAGTCCTAGCTAGAGCAATCAAACAAGAGAAAAAGATCAGAGGTATCCAAATAGGAAAAGAAGAAATCAAGTTATCCCTCTTTGAAGATGATATGATTCTATACCTCAAAAACATAAGAGAATCTGTCAAAAAACCTCTTTGTACTGACAAAGGACAGTGGAAAAGACTCAGGGTATAAAATAAAAGTGCAAAAGACAGTCGCTTTTCTATATACCAACAATAAACAAACAGAAGCCCAAATAAAAAGCACAACTCCATTCACAATAGGCACCAAAAAAAATGAAATACCTTGGCATCTTCCTAAACAGAGACACGAAAGACCTTTACACCAAAAACTGCAAAACACTGCTCAGAGAAATCAAAGATGACACAAACCAATGGAAAAATAGTCTATGCTCATGGATTGGAAGAATCAATGTTGTTAAGATGTCCATCCTACCCAAGGCAATCTACAGATTTAACGCAGCACTCATTAAATTGCTAGCAGCATTCTTCTCAGACCTGGAAACGACAATACAGGAATTCATATGGAAACATAAACTGCCACGAATAGCCAAAACAATTCTCGGCAAGAAGAACAAAGTGAGAGGTATCACACTCCCATACTTTTAACTTTATTATTAAGCTACAAGAATCAAAACAGCCTGGTATTGGTACAAGAATAGGCATATAGACCAATGGAACAGGACAGAGATTCAAGAAGCAAAACCCCAATTTCTCAGCCAACTCATCTTTGATAAAGCCTCCACCACCAACCACTGGGGAGAGGAGAACCTTTTCAGTAAATGGTGCTGGGAAAACTGGTTGCACTCCAGCCTGGGCAACATAGTGAGACTCAAAAAAATAAAAAGAGTACCTAATATTCTAAGGATCAATTTTCCCAAAAATTAACCCTAGCTACAATGCAATCCCAAACTAAATCCCAATAGGCTTCTGGAGAATTGGTTAAATTGACTGCAAGATTTATATAATAACACAGTGCTACACTCTCCCCTCAAAAAAAGAAAGTCATGATAAAAGAAAAAAATTAGCATTCCTAATGAAGAAAAAGGTCAGAAGATTTACTCCAGTGGCTTTCAAGACTTACAAAACTATAGTAACTAAGACAGTGTGGCACAAACAGACAAACAGACAGCGATACCGGTGGACCAGATCAGGGGCCGACTTACAAATCCACATGTAAGTGAAGACCTGATATATGACAGAGCTGGCAAAAAATAAGAATAACCAAAATCAATCTATGTTCTTAGGACAAGTGATTATCCATATAGAAAAAAGGAAAACAGATCCCTCCTTCACACTACACAAAAATCAGCTGCAGATGAGGGCGTAAATGAGAAAGACAAAACTTCTAGAAGAAAATACGGGAAAATAAATAATAATTTAGGTATCCTGATGAAAAAAGGAAAGCTTCTAAAAAGAAAAAAAAAGCTGATTAGCCTCACACTTCAGAATATTTAATGCCAGAAAACAATACAGAAAAAAAGTATTGTTTTTAAAATTCTAAGACAAAGAAAATATGAATCAAAAATGTATTTTATCCAGCCAAATTGTCATGAAAGATAGGCAGACATTCTCAAACATAAACCTCTGGGGATTCAGAACACAATGGAAAGTCACCTTGCAAAAATTACTTAACCATAAAATACAGACAATTAAGACGACGCAAACAAAGAGTGTATAAGAAAACATGCCATAATAAGGGAACTCTTGATGGGCTAGTGTGTATTGAACCAATTTACTTCTAGAACTAAAACACAAACAATTATAGAAATGTAAGATGTTAGAATGTTAGTTATAAACCTCAGCAATTAAAAAACTAACAATTTAACAATAATCTAGAATTAAGAATGAGGAGATAGGAAGAATGTAAGAATGCTGTCTTTTTTCATACAAAAGCAAACAAATCTATCTAAAATAGAAAACTAATTTTAAAAAGAAAACAAATGTTTTTTTGCTAATCAGTACAAATTTTAAAGAACTGGTAACATCCATTGATCACAAAGAAACGTACCCTCTCCCACACTGTTGGTAGGAGAGTAAATTATTATAAAATTTTAGTGGAAAATTTGGCAAGATGTATCAAATTCTTAAATATACTAACTAGAAGTGAAAAAAATCCATCATTTTTTAAAGCTACTTCCAAAATCTAGATTAATTCATCCGCTCACCAGTCTGCTATGGCTAAGCCCAAAGAGAAACTCTGGAAAAAAATCAAAACAAAAAAAAAAGGAAAAAGCAAAAGCTGAATGATAGAAACTGATTATGTAATTATGTGAAAACTCTTATTATTCATTCTTTTTCTTCATATGGTAAGTACTATGGTTTGAATGTGCCCTCAAAGTTCATGTGCTGGTAACTTAATCCCCAATGCAATAGTGTTAAAAGATGGGGCCTAATGGGAAGCAATTAGGTCATGAGGGCTCCAGCCTCATGATTAGATTAATGTCGATTATAAAAGTGCTTGAGACTTCGCATTAGATCTTTTGCTCTTCTGTCATGTGATACCTTCTGCCATGTTATGGAGCAGCAAGAAGGCCTTCACCAGATGCTGATCCTAGCCTCCAGAACTGTGAAAAATAAATTTCTGTTCATTATAAATTACTCAGTCTCAGATATTCTGTTATAGCACAAAATGAACTAAGACATATGGTTTACATTGTTAGCTTCTTGGATCAGAACCAGGCCTTATTTGTACTCAGAAATGTATAGAATTTAATGTAGTATCCACTAGAAGGTATTTAAGATGCACTGGGGTTTTTCCCCTTTATTTAACAGCACTCCTGCAAAAGAAAAGGAATTACCAAAAGGAAATGCTTTTAGTAAGCAACTATGTCAGTTATATGTTATGATACTCCAAATATAAGAACAGAGCTTAAAATTTAAATATGCTTATTCCTAGTCCAAGCCTGTCTACAAGCACTGCTTTTAAAATAAACTGGTTTATATCTCTTGACCATACCTGTTAGCCAAACTGTACAACCACGAAAGCCACCTCTGGTTCCTACCACCTGACCTCGCTTGTTCCTGCTGACATGATGGGCTTGATAGGTGACATTAGTTGCTCTCTGCATCCCCTAGAGGAAAAAAAGAAAAACAATTCTGGTTCATTTGAGTCCTTTAAAAGGTAAATATTTTCCTTCCAACACAATTAGAACCCTATGTAACATGCCAAAAGCAAGGAAAAAGACAAAATTAACACCTAGTCTTTTTTTCCTTAGAGTACTAACATGTTTAGTGCTTTACACATGCCAATTGATTCACTCATCACAGCAACCCAGTGACGTAGGTACTCTTATTACTGTGGTTTTACAGATGAAGATGTTAAACCTGAAAAAAGTTAAATAACTTGCCAAGATCCCATAAATAGTGAGTGGTACACTCCATAGCCCAGTCTTTGCAAGTATTCATTTATTCAATCATTCAGTCAACCAACAGTTATAACAGATGAACAAAATAAGATCCCTACCCTCACTGAGCTTACATTCCACTGGGGGATAATGTAAACCAATAAAACATAATTTCAGAATCAGAGAGTGAGAAGCACACTGTAGAAAAATAAAACAGGAAAAGAAGAGAGAAATAGGGGAAGAGTGCCTCTGTAGAAGATGATCAAGAAATGCCTCTAAGAAGGTAAAACCTGAGTAGACTCCTGAATGAAATGTAGAAGGGATGCTTATAGGTATCATGAAATAGCTACTTTTGCAATAAAAAAAAAGTGGAATGCACTGGTTATAACTTGATGTTCTCCCAAAGTTTCTTCTTTTTGAAAAAAAAAAAAAAGGACATAAAATTACATAGGCCACAAAGAATCTGTACAGGCTTTCCTCCAAAAAAAATATACTGGCCAGGAGCGGTGACTCAAGCCTGTAATCTCAGCACTTTGGGAGGCCAAGGCAAGAGGATTGCCTGAGCCCATGGGTTCAAAACCAAGAGTACAATGTACTGTGCTGCCAGATAATTTTGCCCAACTGCAGGGTAATGTAAGTGTTCTGAGCACATTTAGGGGAGTCTGGGCTGACCTATGATGCTCAGTAGACTAGGTGCATTAAATGTGTATCTGACTCACAATATTTTCAACTTACAATAGGTTTATTGGAACAAAACTCCATTATTAAGTGGAAAAACTTTGTACTAAAAACCATTGAATTGTATACTTGAAATAGGTGAATTGAGTAATATGTTTTATATAGAGAGAGATATACATATAAAGCTGTTTTCAAAAAAGATACTTGGTCTCTATTTTCTCTTCCTATGAAGCAAAAATATAATTTAGACTCTTTTCAAAAAGTTATATTGCTATAAAATAAGTGTCTGTATTCTGATAAGGTGTTTGTATTTGATACTGCTTGCAGCTCTTCTATCTTTCAAGATAGATTTATTCATCATTCACTCAAAAATATTTGCTGAATATGTGACATTTTTCTAGGTGCTGATGCAACAGAAGTGAGCAATACTGTTACAAGTGACTGTACTGTGGAACTTATATCCTAATACAGTGGTTCTCAAACCATGGTCCTTGATCAGCAGCTTCAGTATCTCCTAGGAACATGTTAGCAATTAAATTCTCAGGTTCTGCCCCAGACCTACTAAGTCAGAAACTCTGAGATGGAGCTCAACAACCTGTATTTTCACAAGCCCTCCAAGTGATGCAAGTTCAAGTCTGAAGCAAGTTCATGTTTAAGAACTACTGGACTAGTAGAAGAGACTGAGGGGGAGGGAGAGAGCAAGAACCAAGATAATTATGTAAGTTAAACAGTAATAACTGTCAAAAAGGAAAGTAAATAAGCAAAAGCCTCTGCTAAGAGGCTGAAAATGTAGTGTCCTGAAAAGGCTTCATAAAAGGTCATTTAAGATTTTTGATGATCCTCACCAGGGGGTAGAACATTCCAGAGACAGGGAACAGCAAGCACAAAGAAAATTGGGAAAGTGAAAGACTGAGGAACTCTGGAATGACTGCTCAGTGCCCTTAAGTCAGCAATTATAAATTTAAATAAGACCAGTTACCATGACTGTATATCTTTCCACAGCTATATTCAGGGGCAAAGGTCACAGGCATAAAATACTGACAAATCCAACCAGGAATATAGTTTGGCCCAGAGGTCTTCAAAGAACAAAACCCTTGCAGGTATATAAGCATACATTTTTAAAATTGTTATGTAGGATATATTTTGAAATATGCATACATTGTAAAATAGGTAAATGGAGTTAATTAGCAAATGTATTACCTTACATATTCAAGATTGTTTTGTGGTACAAAATACTTAAAATCTACTCTCAGCAATTTTCAAGAACATACTATATTGTTACTAACTATGGTCACCATGCTGTACAACAGATCTTTTGAATTTATTCCTCTTATCAAATTGAAGTTTTGTATCCTTTGACCAACATCTCCTCCATCTCTATCCCCTATCAGGCCCTGGTAAACTACCATTTTACTCTCTATTCCTACAGGTTCAACTTTTTTGGGATCACACAGTACTTGTCTTTCTGTGCCTGGCTTATTTCATTTAATATTATGCCTTTCAGGTTCATCTATGTTGTGGCAACTAAAAGGATTTCCATCATTCTAAAGATATAAATGATTTTCCCACCACAATTACAGTATTCTTTTGACTGTGTACTTACTTCTACTAGTGACTTTTAAACCTTCCTATGTTTCATGTTACTAATTAGCATTCTTTTCTTTCAGCTTGAAGAATTCCCCTGAGCACTTCTTTTAAGACATGTCTCGTACTGATGAACGCTTTCAGCTTTGTTTGGGGAAATCTTTTATCTCCATTTGTGATGGATAGCTTTGTGAGATACAATATTCTTGGTTGACTATCCTTCCCACTCCCCCAACCCCCCTCACCCCCACTCCCGCATACATACACACACCCCCTCTTAGCACTCTGAAGATATCATCCCATTCTTTTCTGATCTGGAATCTTTCTGCTTAAAAGTCTGCTGCCAGCCTTACTGGAACTCTCTTATATGTAATTTGCTTCTTTTTTTACTGCTTTCAGGATCCTGTATTTTTGATGGTTTGGTTATAATATGTCTTGGTGTAGTCTTGTTTGGAGTGAATCTGACTGGAACCTTTGACCTTCCTATACTTAGATACTTATATCTTTCCCCAGATCTGGGGAATTTTGCTATTAATTGAAAGGATGGACCAAGAGCAGGAAGCCATTTTTGTCTGGTTTCTAAACCCTAACACAATGATGAGAAAGTAGAATGCATTCTTTAGGTAAAGACTAACTTTGCTGACTTTGTCTTTCTAGAAACCCAAATCTCTCAAGCATGACCACAATCGGCCCATTGTATAACCTCCTGAGGGTGATGAGATCTGTGACTCAGTGCCTGGTGACCAGGAACCCCCTCAGGGTCTCTAAGACATTCACAAATGGTCAACAAGAAAGTCATGGCAGTAACATCTACCTGACTGAAACATCTCCAGGGGAAAGGATTTAAGCCAGGGTTCAGGGGGCTATGGGGCCACACTCATCTTGGAGTGCCAGCCCACTTCCTATCTGTGGGAAGTGATCTCTTTCTTAAATAAATCTCATCTTTTTTCATCTCTGTGTGTGCTGCATTACTGGGATCTCTGGTTGCCAACACACACCTCTGGCACACCACCTCCAGGGGTGCTGCGCCCCTCCACATCCACATCCACCCTCACCCTAACCGTTCCCTAACATTTTCTAGAGGTTCCACCAAGACCCTTATCTTTATCTCTCTCTCTCCCTCTCTTCCTTCCTTATTTCCTAACTGGTAATCCTCTGTAGACTGTGCTAGAAACTAGTGGCAACTGAAAGCTCTGGCTGAGGTTAAACTTCAGCGTGCTGGAAGATCCCAGGAAAGACATCAGACCACTGCAGTCCGATAGGGTGAGGGAATAAGGTTAAATCTTTACTGCTTTCAAGCCAAGATGGATCAGGCTGGATCTCAGAGGACAACTGACGGTCTCTGCCTGGGGCTACTCCCTAGGGAGGCAAGAATTTCCCTAAAGGAAATTTCGGACTGCTAGCACCCAGATGGGTAGGAGACGAAATGCTTGTTTTCTTTGCTCTTTTCTTTTCTTGTTGCAAAGTGACTCCATGATGGACCTTGAAACTCCAACAGCTGCACAGTATGCCTTTCTGCACCTCCAGTGAGTCATCTCTCATTTATCATCCACACACTCACATATTTGGATGCACTCGGACTCCCTGGCTTTGCTGTTTGGATGAGTTCTTGGATCTCTCAGACTTTTCCCTGTTCTTGTCTTGGGAGATACCTAGCAAGGGTCTGGGAACCCAACTGCCAGAAGTCCTGGTACCAGGCCTTCCAAGACATGATGGAGCATAGCATTCTGCAAGATCTAATGGGCACAGGGACGGGAGAACGCTCTCCCCCTCATGACTCACAACCTTTGTGCTGATTCCTTTGAACCTGTTGGGAACACCTGTCAGGGGATCTAGATGGTTAAAGGCCCAAGAACAAATCCATAAAACCAAGAGCCCATCCCAACTGTATCCCTGTTTCCTTTTACAGGAACCATGGGAAACTCTCAATCAGTTGTGAAGAAAGATAGGCCACTGGGATGCCTTTTAAAACACCTTAAAGTTTTACAACTAAATGAGGATATTCACCCAAAGCGTTTAATATTCTACTGCAATACTGCTTGGTCACAATATAAACTGGGGGATGGCAAAACCTGGCCAGAAGGTGGCTCCCTAACTCCTAATACACTTCTGCAGTTTGATTTGTACTTAAAAAGGAATGACAAATACATTAAAAATCCCATACATTCAAGTCTTTTATGCATTAGCTCGCCACCCAGATATCCGTTCCTCTTGCCACCTTGTTGCAGCGGCTCCCCAGACCCCATTGCCCATAGGTTCATCAGAGGATACTGATCCTGCTGACTTAGCTGCCCCTTCCTCAAAAGATTTTCCACCTCCTCCATACTCTCCTATTCCTTATACAATTCCAATTCCTGCTTTCCCTCTAACAACTCAAATGCTGACCCAGCTGGTTTAACTTCTGTCTCTTGAAATCTGCTTTTGTTACTTTACTCTGTCAGGTTCCCTTCCTTCTCTTCCTTTTT